AAACAATTCTGTTTGACAACACATTTTCCCAGTCTGCAGTGACCCTCTTAACACATCATTACTATTATCATTATGTTTATGTTTATTTATACCCCACTTTTTCTTTCCACAATCAGACTCAAAGTGGCTTACATTAAAAGCATTTCAATACAATTTAAAATCTAAAATTATACAAACATTAAAACAGAATTAAATATAAATGGCATTTAAAAATTCACAGTTAAAATCAATAAAAACATAATCAAAGCTAAAAATCAAATCTGTCACACATAACCTCATGATTGCCATAACCAGCTACAAATTTTTCCCTTTTAAATTCACTTTGCTGTTAGGGGACAGCCCACTTTTTCAATCTTTTGCATTATTTTTGGCCATACAGCCTTGGCCACTCTTTTTTCCCATCTTGGGTGCAAATATACATATTTTCTATTGTGCAGGGTGTGCTAATACTGATATACCGATATGCAAATATGTGCACACACATACTTTCTTTTTTACAAATAAATAAATAAATAAATAAATTCAGCCTAGAGAGGAACCAATTCATGGCAGGAATGATCACTTCCCACTACCCCACTAATTCTTCCTCCCCAACTTTGCAACTTAAATGAAAAGAAGCATTGCACTCATTATTTTATTTTGCTCTTAGTTTTTATTTAGCATTTCTCTGTCTGGTTTTTCATGATATACAGAGATGTGAAACAAAATACAGTGGTAATTTGAAGTGCAAAAGCACCATTGATTTTGCATAATGTGTGTAGTATTTGATTATGTCAGTTGCTGATCTGACTCAGTAGCCTTTGGAATGGAAATTGTTTTATGTAACTGCATATTGGGGCCTAATTAGCCTAAAGGCACCAGCTCCTTTTTGATCTTGGAAGCTAAATAGGATCAACCCTGCGTAATACTTGGATGGGAGACTACCAATGAATACTAGGTGCTGCAGGTTATATGAAGGCCAGAGGGAGTGACTGACAAAACCACCTCTGAGTATGTAGAAAAGCCTATAGATAGAATACATGGGGTCTCCATAAATTGATAGGCAGCTTGGAAGCACATATACACAACTATACTTCAGACCATACATTATACAAAAAACACATTGAGATCCATATATTAAAACTACATTTTTATTGGCCAGCCAGAATGCTAAAATAACATACAAAACTGCCCTTTTTCTGTTTAAAGCAACACAGCTAAGAACTCCTTATTTAGAGTTGATTGGGGTGAACTGTAGAGGTGATGCAGATACTTGATTTGGATTGGGACCTTGTTAACAGCTTGTTTATTTTCACATACGTTGCACTATATGTGTATATGTTTTTGATATGGCCAATGGGCTAATAATAAAACGTTCTTTACATATACACAACTGCATATTGTCTGTTTTTTCCTCCTCATCTTCTCTTCCCCTCCCCAATTTTTGCTTTGTAAGAAAAGAAATGGCCATTCCCTTCTGTTTGTATGATCATTAAATCTTCTTTTACACTATCTCCAGCATTTTAATATCCTGTCTTGAGATATAGCAGTGCTGTCTCCAGGACATTTAATCTAATAACAAGATTATGCTACTTGCTGTTTTTATTTTTTCATTCTTTTTGATGTCCAGTCTGCCTTTTATACTACTGCAGCCCCGAGCTAACATTTAGCAATGACATTTCTTTCTTGGCCCCCAGTTCGCTGTTGTGGATGGATGTGACCAGTTGGGTGCATAATCACATGTACAAAGATTACATTTATTGGAAAGCCAACTAGACATCACTTCAGCCTTATTTACACTGGTTCCCCTGATGCTGTTGATGATTTTGACTGTGATTATAAATTGATTATTTATTTTATTCAAATATTTCTATTTTGTCCTATGCCCAAGGATTTCAGTGTATTTTACAATAAAATCAATATAAACAATTTAAAAATGTAAAATAATAGAATGCGCATCTTAAAATGTAAAACAGTGTCAAATTAAAGTAAGTTGAAACCATGTACACTTAAATACAAATGCAATAAATCATTGCACCTCAAAGACTTTAATATAAAGGCATTTTTTACTTGGAGGTAAAATGAAGCCCGTATAGAGAAGGCTTTGCAATGATGATTGCATATGAAGTTTTCTCTGTGCTGTAGAGTTATTAAAAGGTAAGATGTCCCTGCCTACATGGCCACAACTTGATAGACACGATGAAAGGGGGGGGGGGGAGAGATGTGGATAAAAGAGAAAGGCTGGAAAGTGCATTAGCAGCTGTTGGATGGGTCGAGGTTAGACATGGGCAAACTTTTGCTCTCCAGGTGTTTAGGACTTCCAACTCCCACAATTCGTAATAGCCAGTAAGCTGGATAGGATTTCTGGGAGTTGACGTCCAAAACACCTGGAGGGCTGAAGTTTGCTTGAGCCTGGTCTAGATTGATTTTCTTCTTCCCATTATGTGCTTCCTGAGAATATTTGGTGGCAGTTTCCATACCTCTTGGCCAATAGTAGAGGCCACAACATTGACACATGTTAGCTCTGAAGTTTCAGGGTAACTCCCTGTTGTGGCCAAATGTTCTTTCTGGCAGGAAATTGGGAAGGAAGATCCTTGTAGCTTGGACCAATGGATAGTCTGTTTCTTGCTATGATGGCTTTCTGAATTAGACTCACATGTGCAGTATCTCATGAACCCTTGATCTGTTGATTGGCAGCAGAAGTCTGTTTCTTTTCACATCTGTAACCCCAAATTACAGAGTGTATGACATCCTATCATGTATACACTGGCCACTTAATCTGGGACCAGTCAGGAACATTATGCTCTAGGTTGGGCCTAGATTGACCATGTGATGGTGGCCACACACACTGGACCTAATCCTGTGCATCACCACATTATTGTCCATATAGGACAGCTGGGCCAGCATTTCAGCCCCTGGCCCAGCCCTGTTTTCAGCATCACTGCCATTGTTCCCTTATCAGCCTGGGACCTCTGGGAAAAGCCTGTCCAGTACACTATCACGTCTACTGAAAGATCGCTTTTGTCCTCCTTGTTGATCACATAGAAAAGAGGGATGGCATGTCTTCTGCTATGTGGATAACTGATTATGCCAAATTGAACCCAATCCAGCTGTCCACATGTCAAAAGTACCCAAGACCACTCCAAGGTTTCTGGGAAACACCAGAGTTTCCCCCAACTTTGCTTAGCTCAGAGTAAACTTGGGGATAAGGCCAAAAAAGATGGATCCACCCAGTAGATAGCCATGTCTGGTCTGGAGTGTCACCATGGGTGAATTCAACCTCAGTGCAGAAGATAATTTCACACTTATCATTTGGATTTTATCATCCCAATTTATATGTATACTGTAATACATATGTAATATTCACTGCCCAGTGCTAATGATTTATGGCTAAGATAATAATGGTAATTCAAATACTTTTCATTGAATATCTTGCTGCTGACATACCTCCTGTTAGAAAACTGTCACTGCCTTCTGTCCCCTTGTTTTTATATTTAAGGATGACAGAGACTTTGCAAGATATAGATTCCACCCCCACCCCCCACCCCCACTATCAAGTCATTTTTATAGTTGATTAATAGCTGTAGTCTTAATAACAGATTCTGGCACCCCATTTATCTCCTTCACCCACCAGGGATATTTGAGATTTGCTTGCCATTGTAACAACATGCATCCCTGTTATAAAGCTTCACCTTTTGATATCTTTCTTTGACATTATTTTAAAATATTGACATTTGCCGGCATGTTCTGTTGAGACACTAAATGCAAAAATTGTTTCTCAGTGTGATGTAGTTAAATTGGAACTAAAATGACATCCTGCAGTTTAGGACATGTTATTGCAATAGGGGGAAGATGTCAAATTTCTAAACACCAAACCTCCAGGATGACCACCATATGTTATGTAGTAACGCTTTCATACAGAGCACGGAGGAGGCAGTGTATTTCTATTTATGGTTTTGTTTTTTAGTTGAACTGGGTCAGATCTCCACGCCATGTTGTTCTCTGAAGAAAATCATCTTGTGGTAGGTTTCACAGTCAAGGGTTGTCAGTTAATGACTTGTTTGCAGTGGCTCGTTGATATGACAAAATACAGGCAGTCCCTGAGTTACAATCATCTGATTTACAAATGGCATAGTTAAGAACAGAGGTGAAACAACAGGAAGTGAGAGAAATCTTCCCTTGGAAATGGAAATTCACTTGTGAAAGAGTTACTATCATGGGGAAAGATACTATCATCTCCACTGAAGCATTATCATCATTCCTTGTTTTCATATGAAGCCACATTTTGTAAAATCCAGTTAGGACAGAAAGGGAGATGAAATCTTCTGAAGAGGGGCAGACAACAAACACCACAGGGGTATTAACCCTACTTGAGCTATCCAAAGCTTGTGTGTGTACACATACACAAACACACACACATAGTTAGAGTTATACTTTTAAAAAATCTACCTGTTCCAACTTACATACAAATTGAACTTAAGAACAAGTCTTCGTAACTTGGGGACTGCCTGAAATCCCATGTCAGAAGGAAACGAGAAAACAATTCAACAGTATTTCTCCTTCCTTTAAGGAAGATGGGAGTGTGGATGGGATCTTATAAACAGGCATAAGTCCATATAAACAGATATAAGTCAGACTCAAGCCAATCCTAAACATATATGTGTACCCTACTTCTGTGTCTTCCCATAGTCTGCAGCTGTCTGTTCCATGTGGTTATTTACCTAACTGATGTGAATTGGTTCCTACTGATGAAGTTACTCTGTTTCCCCTTTTCTCAGTATTGAACCAATTTAAATATTTATGCTCATATTAGGTATGATGCAGTAATTTTGTGTGGATGATTTTTAGGAGAAATCCTTTGAGTTGTGCTGGTCCTATAGAAAGAAATGTGTTTATACTTTGTCAACTTCCAATGGTGTTTCCGATGAATGGGTTTGCCATAGAGTCATAAATGGAGCAAATACAGTGCATTGACTTGAGCATTCAAATTCATCATCCTGTGTTGTTTTGTTTGTTTCTAGGGGATGTGATCAGCCTCGGTGATAGAGAGCTCACTGTCATGCACATGCCTGGCCATTCAAGAGGAAGCATTTGTTTGCACGACAGCGAACGGAAGATACTGTTCAGTGGAGATGTTGTGTATGAAGGCTCAATGATTGACTGGCTTCCTTACAGCAGGATAAATGACTATGTTGCAAGCTGCCAACGACTCATAGAATTAGCGAATAGGGGCTTGGTGGAGAAAGTCCTTCCAGGGCATTTCAACACATTTGGTGCAGAACGACTCTCTCATTTGGCTTCCAACTACATTTCTAATGCCGGGATTTGTCACAAAGTTTCAACATGTGCCATGAGATCAGTCGCAAGCCTAGCACTTCGGGCAACAAATTCTAGATCAACTTCCTAGGATAACATGTTTAATGTTCTGTTGGTATATATTAGTTGCTTTAATGGGAAAAATGGGGGTTTGAGCCACAAAGATTATTTTTATCTACTTCATTTCTATTTTCAAATAAAAGAAAATCAGATGCCAATACAAGCTAGTAGCTATGCCAAAGCTACTCATTTTCTTTCTGTTTGTTTTAAGGCAAGTTTGCACATATATTGAGTGCTGTTCCACAAATATTCTGAACATGTTGCTTTGTATTTTAAAGCATTTTGAAGCATATGAGATGCACTTGTTTTGCACTTGTGACAGATTTATTAATGAGATCTTAGGTATTCATGTTGAAAGCATAGTTTAAATGGCTGACCTTATTAACAGCAGTATTGTGGGTGTGGGTTGGGAGAATTAAAACATTCCACTGTCTCATTGAATGCACTAAGTTTAATTACCCAACAATTCATTTTTATTGAATGGGTGAATGTAAGATGTAGTTACCTAATGCTAAGGTATTATCATATATTATTGCTCTTCAGAAATTGTGTTGCATTGGCTTTTGTTTCCTAAACAAATGAAATAGCAGTAAATATTTGAAGTATATTGCTTGCTCGGTAAATGTGACTAATTGTTTCAGTGTTAGTGTGTGTACCTATTAAGACCTCCAGTCTGAGGATTTTATATATAGTACACACCCATGATGAATAGTTTCTGTAGTACAATAGCTGGATAAAAAGCACAGCACTTGTCAGTTACAAATTGTTAGATGCACCAAGTAAAATGGGTCATGGAAGGAGAAGAATTTAATGGTTTGGGGGAGATGTTTAGCAAAAACTACAGCTTTCGGTCAGGCCCTGTGTGTTTGGTTCATGTTACGTTTGTGGGCAGAACTTCAGATAAAAGTTTTGCAAACACCTAATGTCATTTTTCTTTTCTTGTTTCTCCTTTCCCCCAACTTCTGTAGTACAGTACAGCTCCCTTATCTGCAGGACTAGAATCCATGATTTCATTTCTGCCCAACAAACTTATATCCTCTCTAGGCATTTTGTGGAACCTCCAGCATGACTCAAGTGTATTCTTGGGCCAGACATCCTTCAATTCATTAGTGTTGACTATTAGTTGTTGTTTTGCATATGCGCATAAAGTTCGGGAACATATCCCATGCAGATGTTGGAGCTGTACTGTACTTACTTTCAAGCTACTTAACAGAATTCTTTCAACTATATTTAGCTGTCTGGAACATTACCAGTTTTCTATATGAAGTCTGTTTGTGTGTGTGCGTTGTAACTGTGCTATGGAAAATAATTTGATTATTAAGAATTCAGGAAGAAAGATAGGAACAGTGGCCCTTTCTTGTGAGAACAGGGAGCAGATTTATTTTTCATCCTTAAGCGAATGCGCTGAATATTATTTCCTCTGAACCAATTAGCACTGCATTGCACATAGAGAGTTTGGCCCCCACTGTATTCAGCACTTTAGCCCTGAGTAGTCTCGAGGGTGGCTAGTTGGATGTATTCTGTTCTTCACATGTGAACAGTGCCTATTCCCTGCTGTACACTGGAGAAGAACATTAAGCGAAAAGCACAGATTTGCTAGTGAAGGTGTTAGAAATGTCTTTTAGCTTTAATTATCTTTATGAATCTTGCACCAAACGAATGGATACATTGCTTATGTTACAGACCACTTCACTTTGGCATTTAGCTTTGAAAGCATAAACTACTAATTTAGGGACAAGGATACCCAAGAATGTAAGCTTCAAAATCATAGAACTTGAGAATAGATATTAGAACTAGTAAAAGAAAAAGCATAAGCAAGTGCAGAATTAATCCAGAGCCATATAGAAATTGTCATAATAGATTTCCAAATAATGCACTTCCTACACTTAATTTTTTTCTCTCTTGCTAACCACAATGAACATTTGTGCCAGGAACAATATTAAGCAGAATTGAGGCTAACCTGGTTAACTTGGTTAACCTTCTGAACTTCGATTTCCAGCCAGCTTTGGACTGGCCCTTGTCAACTACTAGTGCCTTGCTTTTAGTATGCAGTTTTGTGGACATTTTACATTGAACTATTAAAAAGTGATTTCGTTGTTAGGAAGTATTTTCGAGGCACTAATTAGGATTTCCTCCTGAGGGGAAGCAAATTGCCTATGTTGAATCTCTCTTGCTTCCTCTCTCTCCACAAATAGCTTAAACTTATTTCCCCAAAGCCTTATATTATATTGACACTTTGTAGACTGCTCACTAGGAGAAGTGTTCAGAAAAGAAAAATTGAGACTGCCAAAGATTACTTTCACTGAAGACCTGAGCTGAGTTTTCACTATGGAATAGTTCTGTTGGGTTGTTGAATTAGTATATATTAATAAAAATACATTGGTTATTTTAAGAATAATGTTTTTTGTTCTGTTTTGCTCTGAATTTACAGTTCACACTGCTACCTTATCTAATAAAATAAGTAACTAGTTTTGGGGAAATATAGTCAGATAGAAAAAAAAAATCCCACAGCCTTATTCTAAGCATATGTAGTGAGGAGGAAATCCCCCCTCAGTTAAGTAAAGCTTAAGGCTTAGCTACACTGTCTACTTAATCTGTGGCTATTCCAAAGCAGGAATGCTCCAGAGTCACCCTAGAGGTGGCCACACTCTCTGGTCCCAAGCCCTAGTATGGCGGCATTCACACAGTCCTTATTCATCCCCTTTTCCCTGCACTGATGAGTATAGGACAAACAGGAGGGTGGTGCACCATGTGGACAGCAGACCAGTCCGCATCGGATCTAGTCCTGTCGACATTGTGCACAAATGGTGCGTTTGCGCCAGTGTAACTCAGGAGTATTCCCTAAGTTTCCTTAACATGGGGCTAAACTGATACCCCATGATAAGGACTGGAAGTCTCTGAATATCTTGAAGACCACTAGAAGCGACTTCATGGGGAACATGGGATGTTAAGCTTATGTAGATGAGCCTTCAGTTCCTGGCACATTGACAGAGTTTTGCAATTTTTATTGAGGTTTTAACTTAAAATAAAATAACAATTCCGCTTTGGATTAATACTGGTTATTAAAGTACAATGTCAGAGTGAGAGTGTTGTTATATAATCTTACCTTAATTATTTTTATATAATGAAGCCATTAATATTTCTGAAATACTTTATTAAAGGTTTTGACCATTGAGTATTCCCTATTTATTGTGATACATTATCTGTTTTCACTTAAATGTTATACAGTGAGAAGCATCTACTTTAGTTTAATTGTAAGGGGTTTAGAAACCTGACACGCTAAATAAATAAATAAATAAATAAAAACCTGTGATTTCAGTTTTGACTGTTTTCATTAGTTTAAAAGCTAAATATATTACAGACAACGTTCTTAATGTGAAGGCAATGGTATATTGCCAATTCAGTTGTTGTTCTCTTAACTGACTCATAGATTACGCTGAAAAATGGAGTTGAAAGGTGTGTTTAAGATAGTAATACACTGCACTGTTGATGGAACTAAATATGCCACTGTTTTCAAATAACATTCTATATTATTTTGTCAAATATTGCTAATAAAAGAATTATGACATAAAACAACTTTCAATGATTTCATGTTATTTGTGATTAAGCTATAAGAGAATGGGTGTACACATTTTGCTTTTTGAGTTATAGAAGTATGGCAGTAAAGTGTCCGCTTCCTTGAGTTTTGGGTCTGTATTAGCTTCTCTCTTTCTTAAACACATTTGTGCATTTGGAAGAACTTTACAAGTATATAGTTCATTGTGGACATATGCAACTGTGTTTTATAAAAATAAAAACATGGACTATCCTTATTAGGAACTATGTTGAAAGGCAAGAGTGTTTTATCCCACATTTATCCCAATCTATCTTTGCGACTGGATCTCCTTCTATGAACCGACACAGACTTTAAAATCTTCCAGGGAGGCCCTTCTCTCGGTCCCACTATTGCCCCAAGTACAGTTGGTGGGGACGAGAGAGAGGGCCTTCTCATTGGTGGCCCCCTGACTGAAATGCCCTCCCTAGAGAGATTAGGTTCCAACTTTCTGATCCAGTCTAAAAACATGACTTTATAAACAAGCCTTTGATCTTGAGTAGATTTTATGGGTTAGTCTGAGGACTTGGCGGCTACACTTTGGCACTAGGTTCGTTAATAAAAAAAAATTCAGTTTTATCCAGTTATGTCTGCATTTTATGAATTTGGACTTTTAATTTTATTATATGATTTTTATGGATGTCAGCTCATGTTTTTATTGCTTTAATGTCTATGTAATTGTTTTTATTTTATGTGCGGTACTTTGGAAGGCTTTGTTAGTCACCCCAAGTCCCTTCAGGGAGATGGTGGTGGGGTACAAATAAAATATTTATTTATTTATTATTATTATTTATTTATTTATTTACTTTGCTTATATACCGCTGTATCTCAAGCCCGAAGGCGACTCACAGCGGTTCACAAACAGTAGAAACAGTAGAAACAGCAGTGGTTCCATACAACATATAACAATTGACTTAACACATTATCCATAAATTACCAATAAGCAATTACAATGCACAATTATTACAAAAAACAACCGTACCCAATCTTCTCATCATCCAAGCGTAGTCCGTATTTATTATCATTCTCTGATGTTGCAAGGAATGCCTTCACAGATTACTAAAACAATACTAGCTGATTGTTCCTTAGTAATTCTTGGTTCCATTTTAACCAGTTCAGTGCAAAAAACACTAATTGTATTTTTAAAATGTTTTTTTCTTCTTCTCAAGTTTGGAAAGCATTTCACTTTCCTATGGAGGCCTGAAAGGATCTCTATGATAGTATGTTGAGGGATTGTGTCTTGTCTAAGTTCCTTTACTTGTCTTTCTATGGTCTCTTTCTGCATTACTCAGTTCCTACTAGATTCTTAAGTGCCTTCAACTTGACTCCAACTTAACAGCAAACCAATGACAGGATTTTCTTGCCAAGATTTATTCAGTGCAGGTTTGCCAGTGTCTTCTTCTAAGATTGAAAACATGTCACTTGCCATGTTCAGTGAATTGCCATCACTGAGTGAGAATTCAAACTTTGGTTCAAATCTTCGTTCACCTTTCAAACAATTACACCCCACTGTCTCTCTTTCTAGGAACCCCACTTAATGAGATTATCATTATATTGTTCAGGTTTATTTATGCCTTTTCCCTTCACAAACCTGGGACCATGGAAGTCTATAAGGAATAAAAGAGTGTAAATAAAATCACATATGGCTAAAATAATTCCAAAAACAGAATAAAACTATCTGTAGAACAAAAACCATTTAAAATATATCAATTTAAAATAAAAAAATCTATACTAGAATTAATATTAATAATATTAATTATATTACTAATAAGTTAATAATTAGTATACTAGTAACATGTATTGAATAATACTAAAATGATGCCATCTGGTGGTATAATCTATATATACAAAGAGAACTCGGTTAAGAAACATTTTTCTGTGTGTTGGTAGACAAGCAAAGCCAGTATGTTTGAATTTGGATTAAATAATCCAAATTATTTTGCCATTGATCTCTAAATACTTTTTTCTAATAGTCTGTCAGCTCTTAACAGCTAGCTCTTATTCACTGGCACCACTACTCCGCCTTTGCACTAGGTGAGACTGAACTTATATAAAAGTGGAAAGTTGGTGAGTTATGAGTTATACAGGTGTAATTTATTGAAATTCAGGGACATCCTAAAGTTAAGATTGGTGTAATATATCCAATGTGAAGATCATGCTAAGATTAAATGAAAGAGTTGCCTCTTTCTGAGCCCCTTCCCTTTTCAGTGTATTAGGCTTCAAGATTTCTTTCTCAGCAAATTTGGGAGCATTGTGGGACCGGGGCAGTTCTATTAAATCTACAACAATAGAAAAATAGCTATCTCACATAGCGAAGAGCCAGGTAATGTGAACTGCAAAGCATACTGTTCATTCAGGATGGTAGGACAAGCTGGAGAGCAAGAGAACCACATCTGTATTGTTTGTATGCTATGTTGTGCCCAGAATTAGATGTGGATATCTGAGCTGCTGTTGCTTTTTTGTATTTTGTAAAAAGGGGAACTATACTATCTTCTCAATGGCCTGACATGATATCTGCATAACTCGTAACTCATGAATATCCTACTGCATTTGTAATTCTAGTTTTCAGTGGCTCAAAATATCTAACCATTTCCTTTTGTGTCCTCCTCTGCTTTTTATAAACCACCTAGTCTGATTGAAGATTTCTTGAGGACTACAATTTTTTGTACATGTTTTAAATTTATAGTTGATTTTAATTAGAATATTGTCCACATTTGGATTTTGCTTTAACTTGTGGATCAGCATAGCTTCTTTCATGTTTGGAAAAGTTCAAAAGATGGGTTATATAGATCTCTTTAGACTATGCTACACAGTACTAACCTTTTGATATAGTGTTCCTTACTATCCAAAGACTAGAAATTCCATAACTACTTTCTGTGAAAAAAAAGTTATTTTTCTGTGCTGAATATGAAAAGTTGCATTTCTGTCTTTTTCCAAAAGATGGCAATGAAAGCTTTAGGTTTTACCATGGAGAAAAGAAAATGCACTAAAGATTCTGGTAAGTAAGGTTGGGGAGGGGGGAATCATGTTTGAATATTTTAATGTCATCAGTGAGAAATGAATTTTAAGCATATTACAAGAAAGTGAACAATAAATGGTAACTAGAAGTGTAGTAAACTTTATTTTTCTTGAAATATATGTAGATGTGCAACTATTTTGAGAATAATACAAAAACTACCATTTAATGTTTAAAACATTGTATTGCTGTTCTAAATTTCACCAACAACTTTTAGCATACATGCTCTGCTGCTGTTCTCCCACTCCTATTATCGGTAAGATTATTAAACCCAGTAAAGCAAATGACATTTAACTTTCACCGGCATGCTACCATTTGTATGCTATGGTATTTGTTTTATTTAGAATATTTTTAAAGAAATCATTTTATTTTCTGCTTTTTTCAATGCCATTTTCAAAAGCAGTATGTGGAAAAGTAATTATACCTTTGGCACAGGTTTGATATTTTAAACTGCTACAACAGTATCTGCATTACTTTATCTTGTTTTCTGTTGCTGAAGAAGGGTCTTTTGAAAAAATGAGCTGCTCTACTTGCATGTTTGTTGCTAGTATGATGATCCATACTTTCACTTACTTTATTACTATTTTGTGTAAAAAGCATTGCATAAATAAACAAGTATAAAACTGATAAAATAGAGGGAGCAAAAGCGGCTAAATAATTTTAGACCAAAAACGAGCAACAGTGACCGTATTGTCTGTAGCTTTAAACAGTTCTTCCTCTGTGTATGAGGCAGGGCAATGTGGGCAAGCATATAGATGCTAAGTTGTTTGTTCTGCTCCACAGTTGCACAAGGTGGAGGATTTTTCAAGGTAGTGTCATTTAGTCAGGTTGTCTTTTGCTCTTTCAACTCAACTTCTGAGTTTGTTCAGGGACTTCCAAGTTGCCCATTCTTGGTTTGCCTCTGAAGGCAGACCCTCATGGGGGGGCCATCCATTTGGGACTTCCTGGTTTAGCTAGCCAGAGGGATTTACTTTTGACATGTCAGAATTATTCAAGCCTTCAGATGCTATTGAACTGCAACTCCCATCATTCTTCACCATTGGCTACATTGGCTTTGAGTGGAGGGAGTTGCTGTCCATCTAGCATGCATGATTCCCACTTGTGTTGCTTGGAGTATAAATACATACCTGCATACATTCAAACATCTCTTTAGCCATATGATGATAAACATTTTGAATCATGTGGTTCAGAAAGTGGAGGGAGAGGGATAATGTTAGAGCCATTTTCATACAGAGTAATATTCCAAGAACAATAACATCTCTAGAGGACAGTATCAGATGTCATATTTTTCCATTTTAGTGACAGATAGGGTACATGGCAGAGTTCAGCATGAGACATTTGAATTTCTCCATGGTGATTCAAATGAAATAAGCTCAAGAAATCTGGGGCACGAAATGGGGGAACAACTTTGGACAATAATAAAAAATGGGGAGAGTAACTCCTATAAATGATGCGTCTGTTTCTTACCCTTCAATCTGTTTTTTTAAGTCATTGAATTTCCTGTGCTTTGTGAATATTTCATGTTTTGACCTGCTCAGACAAGTGATTGATTTGACTTTCAGAAAATTGAATCCCACATATTTTCTATGGATCTGGAAATGAAATCCAAACCCATCTTACTCAGCTGTGAAATTCTATGGCATGCATTTTATAGAAAGACATGAATACATTTGTTTATTCTGTTATTATACAATGAATGGGGCCCAAATACAGTATAACGAATTTTCTGTTATATTTGTGATACATCACTGAAAAATAAAAAAAGAACATGCTCCAGAAGTGAAGAATTTACTTATGTTACTATGAACAAGCATTAGTAAGCAATGCAAATATCAGGTTTGTATGATAGAACCCAAATAAACTGGATATCTTGTAGAAAAAAATCTTGTAAAATGCAATGTGAAATAACAATAACACCTTTTTTATCTGTAAACAAGAATTGTCCTGTTTTATTCATGATAAACTATT